AACAAGGTCACTCAAATAGCCCAGTGTTATTAGGCTTTTGCCTCTCATTTGGTCTTAAAGGAACATGCACTGTTGAAATAAATGTGTCTGCATCACGCACTAAGTCCTCTGCTCATTTGCAAATGCCGGACATAACACAGCCTCCACACACTTGAACCAAGTTAGCACTGTCAAACCTCCATTGTTATCCAGCCAGCATAATAGTGTGGGACTGAATAAGCAGAATCAAGTGATGCTCTGCAGATATGGGCCTCGCTGAGTAAAAGCAATGGCCCTATTTTTGCTCAGGGTTAGAGCTCAGCTGTTGTCTGCAAGTAATCCTCCTCCAATTCTGCTCAATCCCAGGATGGATATATCTGCATATTAGCGCAGTGCAAACAGACTTTAAACACATTCATATTTTATCTTTAAATTCTGACTGAAGTTTGCAAGCACAAATTCATGCTTGTGCATTATTCTAAAAATTTTTGCTGCATTTGGAATGCTGCCTCATGTAAAGAGGAACCAAGACCGAGGCACGTAAATCAGCTAAATGTAATAAAAGTGAAAACTATACAGTCTATGTAAACTTAGACGCCTTTTTGTTAACTGTGTTTTGTTCCCCCAAAACACAGTTTTGTAGTCATCAACTACCACTACCATAATGTTACCACCACCATGCCTGACAGTGTATAACTTAAATGACTTTGACACGTATGTTCAGTAGATTAAAGCTTCTGACCAGAACAAATTTGTTTGAGTTTAGTGATTCTATACACTAAGTGTTCAGTTTCTTATGGCATTCTGATGTTGACTGTGGTCAGAAAATTGTATATTTGCACTATCCAAATGATTTCCAAGCAACTGGGAAAATTGTGAAAGATTTTTTTCCCCTAGTAGTCTGCAACAAATACAATTTTGATACAGTGGTTTGTTTTGCGGTTTTTAACGTGTGGAACAGTTTCGACATTGTTTTTGTGGCACGATAAAGACAGGCCTCATGGTGTGTAACTGAGAGGGTCAGAAGGCCTGATGAATCCCAATCTGCCTAATTCTCAACATCACTTTTTAAAAGACTTCTGAAAACATCAAAGCATGACTATTTCTATCTGTCTTGATAAAGAGGCTGTTGGGAAGGGAGATGAGTGTGTCAGTGTCGAGGGCACCAACAACAGGCTTTTGGGTGACATGGGAGCATGTAAGTGTGGAGTCTGGCTTCTCTCAGATGGGACCAAGGTGTCTGCACTTCACCAGTCACCAGGCTCTGAGTGCTATTTGTCTGGGTCACCTGCACTGACACGCTGGTAGCTTGAAACAGAGACAACTTGCTTCTTCTTTGGCTGCTGTGCCTTCTTCAGTTCATTGCACAGTAGTTTGCACAACAGAAAACTAAAGCAGAACCGTTTCTTGCTTTGTCACCCATGAGGTCATTAGGAACAGATCCCTTCTGTCTGCTTCCAAAAACATTAGCAATGCAGTTTTCTCTTGGGAACTGATGTTGATCTGAGTTTTTCACATGACAACTTCAATATGAGGTTCCTAACTATGTTAAATGTGGTGGTCTGCACATTATTAGCCTCTATCATAAAATTTGTGCAGGTATTATGTTTGCCGAGCCAATTAAATGAAAGACGGTAGCCCTCCTAAACACTATAGAACTAGATCTGTAGTGCTGAGGCCAGGCAGTCATCTTTATTTTTGTGTAGTGAATAACAACATTGAGCAGTCTTTGGTATGTGAAAATCTAATAAAAAGCGGATTATTTTTGCTGTCTCCTGATGTGCAAAACCCTTGAAATATTATGGTGACTATAAAGGGATGATGTAACTCCTAAATTAATATTTTAAGAATCTAATTTTGATCGGATTATTGTGTTAGATGACTCAATAACCGTTTGACAGCACCATCTTCTACTTCCCAAAAAGGGGCTAGCTGAAACTGACTAATCCTCAGTAGACCAAATAAAAATGCGCGCACCCTTGTACATTTACAAAGTGAGACAAACAACCAGCCTCCCCCTCACCAGCTGTCTTTACTGCACACTTGACTCGTACACCTCATCTGGTTTCACAAACCACACTTGTAAGTATCTCCCCTAAGAAATACTCGACCTAACCAGTCAACAAGAGCGTCCTCTGAGAATTTAGACAGCTTTACTGGCATTGATGTCATACTGTTGTGAACATGCCTACACTGAGACATTCTGTTTTTACTGTTAATCAACACACATGATCATCTCAGATGCTGCAGACAAACAGAAAGAGAGTGTAGACATAATTTTCTGTGACTGACAAACTTGAGTCATTTCCACAGAGTTTTATTTTTTCAAGGCATTGGTGCAACAGTCATAGGAGATCAAAGTGACAGGTGCTGACAGATCATGGTTTCTACCTGGGAAAACCTCATGTGTCACGTCAATAATTGTTTGAAATGATTACCGGCAAGTGCCTATTTACCTGGAAATGTAATATTAAATAGCCTTAATGTAAGATTAGACTGTGATCTTTGCAATTACAAATGCGCTCAAACATTGAGTACAGTGCTGATGCAGTATCACTTATATATGTGAAATATGTACAGCTGCTGAAGATGTCCAACTACATGCATAAACAGGATACATCCATGAATGCTGGTATATGTAAAAAAGATTGGACGCTTTCAGTGCAGAAAAGGGCTCTTTAGTCTCATCTGACAAGAGCACCTTCTTTATGCTTCTGCTGGTAGCACTGCTGTCTTGCAGCAAGAAGGTGCTGGGTTCAATTCCTGGACTTGAACCCAGGAATCTTTCTGGGGTCTTTCTGCATGGAGTTTGCATGTTCTCCCACAGTCCAAAAACATGCCTGTCAAGTTAATTGGTCTCTCCAAATTCTTTGTGTGTGTGTGCGCACATGGGTTGTTTGAACTGTTGTTGCCAAGCGACAGACTGGCGACCTGTCCAGGGTGACCCCGCCTCTCATCCGGGACGTTAGCTTGAGAGACACCAGCACCTCCTGACCCCACTAGGGACAAGAGTTTTAGAAAGTGGATGGATGGATGAAACTGAAGATTTTGGTGTGTTTGACCAGCCAGCTGACTCGCCTGACCTAAACCTCACATCCTTTCTCACACTCCATCTCTGCTAACCATTCCTCCTAATTTAAAATCTATAACATTTGCCTAATTAAATTACCAAAATTATTTCACAGTCACACAATTTCTGTGCCTAAATGAGAAAATAATCAATGGCTCACAGTTACATACATGCTTTGGATTGATATTTTTGCTTGAACAGATTTTAATTCAGGATGTCAGGTCCACATTCAGTGGGTGGGTGGCATCTAATCAAGTACATTCACTTTTGAGAGAGAAATAACGTCATTATCATCTGTAATGACTCCTCAGAGAGGGAAAAAAACAGTACCAGGGGCACACGTCATACCCTCGACTTACATGTGAGAAGGTAATACTGCAGCTCCTGCTGAGTATACGCAGTTCCCTGCCAACAATAACAGATGGCTGTGTTGAAATAAAAAAAGACTTCATGTCTGACCACCTAGTTTTTGCTCCAGGTTGAGAAGGACCACCAAGGTGCTTTAGTCCTCCAGACATTACAAGCTCTTCAAGTGTTACTTATCAAATTCCTACAGGTGCTCTCTGGTGAGATGGATTTTATTTCTCTCTGTGAAAAGCGGTGTGTTTCCATGACATGGAAACAAATAGATCGCAAGAGACAAAGCTGGTAGAGCCCTGTCATTGATGCATTTATGTGTTCACCAAAGCGAAAATAACTTCACAATGAAAGTTTGTTTGGTTAGCATGAAAAAAGATTCCTTCCACTTCCTGAAATGAAAAGATAAAAGACTATCCACCTCAGTGTTGACAGTTTATTAGCATCACGCCTTGCAATAATAAAACATCTTTAAGAGTTCTAATACCAAGGGTTGCAAGTCATTGTATAGCACTCATAAAAATAAAAATAACATAAAATTTATACTTTAAGACAGGCGCAGTTTTTTCTTTTTTGAAAGGAATGCTTTTCAAATGATTTGTTTTGCTACATATTGCCACAATATGCTATAAAGCAGTGTCTCTCTACATTTTGTCACAATACAACCACAAATTAGTTGGGAGATGGGAAGATAAATATAAACACAAGGCAATACTGCAGGAAAATGACTAAGACGATGCAAAATACCTGAAACTGAGCTTCTACATAAACCTTCATCTGAACATACAGTAAGCATGGTTTAGATCAAAGAATATCATATCCATATATTTTGTGGGTTTTTTTTTCCCATTTCTACTCTGCTGTTATTTATTCACACAAATTTCTGCACATCCTGTTGATTTCTTTCTCAAAATCAGTGTACTCTGGTGAACATTACTTTTAAATTGAGTGTGATATTTTTTAGTGCACAGTATTATTTTTTATATTTATCAATGCCGTTCAGAGTCCAATTTTTTTACATGTATTTTTTCACCTTTGTGTGAAGGTACATGCTCTCATTGTCCTTAACTTGCTAAAATGGCACTAAATTTTCTACCACTGTGGGTCAGCAAAGGTTATTTCTATTCTATTCTATTCTATTCTATTCTATTCTATTCTATTTTTTCTTCTATTAACAGATGTATCCTAACATTTCTATACTTTAGTTTGGATAAAAATATTCAGATAATCAACTATGTATTTTGAGGAATATTGAATTGAATAATTTGTTTGATTAAGTAACAAAAAAAAAAGAAACGCTCGCATGGTTTTTAAAACAAATTAAGAAAATTACAATTTTGCAGCTCTTGTGTATTCAGTCATGACACCAGGAATGTAAATAAATAAATGCATAAAAAAGAGGAAGAAAATTAAATATTATTCACTAATTGTACTTTTTAAATTTATTTATATTTACTACATTTTCTGTCAATGTGTGCGACACATAATACAGTATGAAATTGTATTGTCCTTTTGTGCTGCAGTTCCTGGGAATCAGTTCTCGCGAGGTTATGGAAAACAATCCAGACGCCTCTTTCCCCCTCCTTCCTAACCCTCCCTTCCCACGCCCCAGTGCGCTGTGGGATAGTGCCTCTATAAAGTATACCCTCTCTCGGAGCACGATAAGAAGCCCGAGACAGGAGGGGGATGAAGATGGCGGACGCCAAGCAGAAAAGGAATGAACAGTTAAAGCGATGGCTGGGCTCGGAGACGGACCAGGAGCCTGCAGTTCTGAAAAAGAAGAAGACGAAGGTGAAGTTCGATGATGGCGCCGTGTTTCTGGCCGCCTGCTCAAGCGGTGATACCGAGGAGGTGCTCCGTCTGCTTGACCGGGGCGCTGACATCAACTACGCCAATGTAGACGGTCTTACTGCGCTCCACCAGGTTTGTGCTTCATTGCCATTGTTTGTAATATTACTCATTGGCCCAGTTGGTACCTTTAGTGGCAAATATCCCTTTACTGTGAGCAACTGCATGTCCTGGAACACCTGTCAAATGGAAGCCATTCTCATCCCGTTGTTTACCTACCGAGCAGACTCGTCTTTTTCGACGCAGAGGACTGAAGCCATTAGCTGCCCGAGCTTCATCGTCTTATGTACAACATGTTCACAATTTGCAGAGTGGGTATGAAGTCACACACTTTCCCTTTTGGACCAATTTTCCTTTATCTTTTCAAACTACTTTGAGACTACATATCTTAAACCTTTGGGTGCAGTCTAATTGCTGTTCTGCTGCATTTCACATTTAAAGCCGATGTTAAAGAACTAGTTTCAAAATGTTTCTGTCCTTTAGGAAAAGTGTTGGTTGCCGATCAAATATAGGATACTTTAAACGAGTCACGTCAGAAGGAACTGCCATTAATGGTGGGTTTTCTTAGGCATTCGGCGGTGAAGAGTTGCTACCTGGCTAACAGTAAAAGTCGTTTTGTTGATATACCCAGAGCGGCGACGGTGGCTACTCTCTGGAGAGGAAGAAGAGGCTAGTTTGGGTGTTTTGTCCCATACTAATAGTACCATTGCAATATTTTCATCGGAAGGTTGTAGTTGGCTTTATCACTCGTTTTCATAACCCATGTGGAAATGATATCTTGGAGAAAGAAATTGATGTATTTAGGGGTAAGCTAGCGCTGCGTTAGCATGCTAAAATAACTGTCGCTTGCGGCTTTGGACTTTAGCTTAATTCATTCATTAGCCGAGCTGACAGACTACTTCAGCTATACATATGACCTCTGAAATTAAACGACTACACCCTCCACTGTTTGTCCACTTAAATAAAAAGGTTATACTGCTGGCTTTTGGATGTTTTGGCTGTAATGTCATCTGTTCCAAGCTAACATTTTGCCCGCTAGTCACTTGAGCTACATCCACTAGCCTCGCTCAGCGCTTGCAGGATTTCTAGACTTTGCGGCAGAATTAAGCAATCGGATCAGTAGAAATACACGTCAGAAAAGTATAAAATAAGCGAGCCACCTTTCGGCAATGGACGTACTGTCCTCTTCATCAGTTTATATTCAGATTTAGGTACTGGTAACATTTAGCCGGGTACGTTGCTAGTCGTAAAGCTGCACAGATCTTTTAAGGCAAGATCTATATTAAAATGCAGTGAAGACTGACATTTTTTGCAGTTTTTATACTAGTTTTGAACGCATTTATTAGGTGATCGTTTCACAAACATAAAATATAAACTATTTTTTGCTTTCTGCTTTTATTCGATGGTTAAAGCCTTAATTTACTTTAAAACATGCACCAAAAAAGTTGTGCATGTTTTGCATGTTTGTGCAACCTAAAATTATATGTTGCATGCATGTTGTGGAAAACATTAAGAGACTAAAAATCTACTCTTTTTAACCATGACTTTGATAACCCAACAGTGGGATGCTGTGGTCTGGTTATATAGCCTAACAGGAATTAAATGAATGACAAATTCAGTTCTGAATGTATTAACTTTATCTGAGATTTTGAAAAATTTCAGCTTGTAAAGACATAACGAATTGTTTGGTGAACTGGATTACTGAATCCAGTGACAGGAATAAAACTGCAGCTGCAGAACCGCGGCCAAGTTACAGCTGTGTTCGGTTTTAAGTTGTTTAAGGTGTATCTTGAGAAATTTTTAGATTAGTGTATCATGCTGCTGCACATATTTTTCCTGAGTCAACTAGTTTTTGATGTAAAAATTTGAAACCAGTAAGTCTAGCGTCAAAGAAATCTGGAGCATGGCTGGGAAATGCCTCATCAGTGCATCTGTAGGTAATGCCACTACTTCAGTTTCATTTCTGTCTGTCTGTCACCTGCATGGTTGAGACAGAGGGAACGCGGGGACAGATTGTTAGACTGTTACAGTGAAGATTCAGTTCTATAATGTCTGAGAAAGATACATTTCTTCTTATTTGTAAATAACTTAACTGAATTTTCCCAACGCTGCCCGTTGTAGCCCAGCTTGGCCAGCAGTCATTTTTCTGTGACATCAGGAGGTTCTTTACCATGTGATTCAAATCTTTTCAAGGCAAACAATGCAACACTTCTTATTTACAAGCTTTCTGGAGCCCTGCTGATCCAGTACTAATAAGGCAGCTATACTTTTGGTGCACATTTAGGGAATATTATGGTCTGCTTGGAGAGAGGAGATTTGTACAAATGGTGATTTTGGGTTGGAAATGGAATTTGAAGCATTCTGGACTTTCAAATGTTGGAACATAACCAACATATATTGGCTTCAGTATGCTGTGCTGATGGGTGTCTGCCTTGTTGCATTTGAAATAAACTTATAATATTTAAGCAGCTACTGTAAGTATTAATGAAAACAGTTGTAGTTTTTTAATCAGTTTCTTATGATTCCCCATTCTGAAGGAAAAGTGGAGGATCTAAGTTAAAATGATCTGAATACAGAGGTTACTCATTACCATTGGTTACTCTTGTCTAAATGTTTAGTCTTGGCAAGAAGGTGTGAAGGTCATTAAATTAGGAGGTTTCTGTTGTGTTGTTGTAAAATTAGTATTTTGATATGGATGCCTTTTAGTCTTAAGCCGTGTTTTCTCTCACAGGATGTCTTCGCTTTGTGTTTATTAAAAGTTCTGGTTAACATAAAATTCTCATTGCTCTGAGTTTCCTATAATAAAATCTGGAATCAGTAAGGCCCCTGTTCAAACTCAATGTTATTTGGACTTGTGTCCAGGGAAGAGCTGGAGCCAGGAACAATTTGCTGTTGACTCTTCCTGCCAAATGATGAGAGGCTGATTATCTTTTAGCTGTAGGGATTTTGTGGTTTTTATTGACACACAAATGATCAAAACTTTAGCTGCGTTGTCTTGTTGATATTCTTATTTATTGTCGCATGGTAATACATTTGTAGGACATCCTTTGAAATATTCTGACCTCTTTCTCCATTTGTGTGTCATGTTCACAATGGCTCGCTCTACACTTCCAATATCTCTGCCATTCCTGGTGACCAGTTCAGGGTTAAAAATACCACCACCACAAGTTCTCCTAACTGGGTTTCAGGATATGATACTAAGTTTGGGTATGACTCAGTCTGCAGCACTGCTTTGCACTGCCGGCCGTGTCATTTAGGCAGGAGGTTATGTCTGTGTCCAAATCGCAGACTTGCTGCAAGTGAAGCACATATAAGCAAGCTGATGCATTGATTAATGCTGATATTTCCATCAGTAAACTACAGATTTACAATGCCTTGCTAAAGTGCATACTTGTGAAGTGGGAGGAAAATAATGTCTTGGTTTTCAGTAGGGATGCACCAATCCACTTTTTTCACTTCCGATACAGATGTCTGAGGTTGAGTATCAGCCTATACTGATCCAATACAGAAAAAAACAAGCATGTAAAAATAAATTGCAACAAACCTTCTTTCAAATAGTTAAGAAAGTGCAATTGGTAAGTTTAAATATAATGTAAAATAAATAATAAAGCATGACATTACTCAGCAGAAAGCATAGAACTAGACTGAATAGATTTGCCCTCGTGGATCGGGCCTAGTGTCACTGATGCCAGCCTAAAGTTTTGACAGATGACCTATTATGGCATTGATCTGGCACAAAGAAAGCCATGAGAACTCTAACCCATCCTTCAACAAATAAATATTTTCCTTTTACCTCCCAGCTATATAATGCTTTGTTTCATCATAACAGTTTTCAGTAAATTACATTAAATTTTTCCTTTTTAAAAGACAAAAAAATTCACAGAGATTAATACTTTTGCAAGGTGCTGTAGGTGGATAACTTGAGATGTTGTCCTGAGATATTACAATGATGAGTAGAGATTACAGATTACTATTCCATTGGCTAAACTGGTCTTAGAGGGTAACATTCCAAGACCTGCTGTCCTACCCTGAGCATTCCTCGCATGACGGTCGCTGGAAACCATAGCAAAGAGGGAGCACAGAAGACATTCCTCAGCTGTCACTTCTACCCCTCCTGTCTGGACGTTCCCTCAGTCTCTCCGGCCGGCCTAAGTTCTGCCCACTAAGCTCCACCGGCAAAGCGGAGGGAATGGAGGCTTGTTCCGTCACGTTCCAAAAATCCACGCTGACCTACAGCTGAACTTACTGACTGCAGTCATACACTTTGCTGATCCCAAAGACTTGGGTGTGTGTGTGAATGGGGGGAGGCAGGGCTCAGCTAAGCTCAACATGTTAGTTGGACATTACAATGCCTGTGTCTGTTGACATTACACACCCTCATTACAGCCTGAAAGTCTATGAACATTATCTTGCACTGTTTCTATGACGACTGCTCGGAAGGTTACCAGTGACTCGTGTTGGTGGATTTGCATGGACCGAGTGGGAGTTGCATAACAGACTGTGCAGAGCGAGCGAGCGTCTGGCTGAGTGCTGCAGTTCCAAACAAGAATCCGCCTCACAAGTCGGTAATGGAAGCATTTCTGAGCATGTGGCGAACGATGATAAGACTGCTGCGATTCTCCTGGTCCAGATGAGCATCAGTTATGTTAACACATTACATAATTGGGAACGTTACTGCCGGCCTGGCTCTGATATTCTTGGCTGTGCCTCCAGGCTTGCAGTTTGCCACTGAGAGGAGTAAAACAGAACACCGTTGACACGCCGCTGTCTTCTTTCAAAGCAGCGGCACATCCTGTCATGAACCCCCCCCCCCCTGCATCCAGAGTCACTGCCTGAGGCAGAACGTCCTTCTTTTTTAGCTGTAGATTAATGCTGCTTAGTGACTCAAAGATGTCATTGGCTGAAATTTCTCAGATATTCAACTCAACAATCTACATGAATTAGAGATCTGAAGTGTTGGATAAAGACTGCAGAGTATTGCACATGTTCAGGATAAGGATGACATCTGCATTGTGCTATAGCATCATCTGGTTTGGTTTGGATCAGAGATCAGCAAAAACATTGTTTTCCTTTCA